GGGGGGGGGGACCATTTCTGTCAGACCTTGGCAGCGGCTTTCGTGACGGACGTGATCTTCACCGACGGACCCAATGGCAAATCGTTGACCTCGACGGAGAACGTGTCGTAACGGAGGAAGAATTCCACTACAATAACTCTGGCCATCAGCACCACCAGATTTTTACCCGGACACATCTTGTCCTCCGGCGTCGGCTCCTCTGTCTCCCTACCGTTCGACCAGTACACATACTTCAGAAGCTTCTCCCCTTCTTCTCCGACGAACCTGTCGCCGATGAACTTCTCTGGATTCTCAAAAACCCTTCCATCTTTAGTTGCAAACGGCTGATACCCAAAAATGGTCTCCCCTTTCTTTATCTTGAAAGCGGAATCGTGGCTCTGTACCACGATGTCCTCCTTCGCTTTCGCGTACTGGAACGGCACCGGCGGCTCGATTCTCAGCGCTTCGTACACGACGGATTTCAATAGACTCATCTTCTCTATTGCGCTAAATGTTAATCCCCCTTCTTCCTTCACGGCGGCTCTGATTTCGTCGGCGAGATTCCGGTGAAGCTTCTCTCCAGCGGTGCCGACCCACTTCAACAAAATCGGGAAAAGTACTTTCATTCCGCCGTACGCATTGAATCCGGCCAGAAACACTAAATTGTGACACGCTTTCTCTCTGTTTATCCCCTGTTTCTCCGCTTCGGCTAGAAACGAATCAGAGCAGGAGTAAAACGCATTGTAAAGCTTCCTGTAACCACTTTTGACAAGAAAGAAAGGCAGTGGCATGGTGTGAATGACGAGATCTTCTAAAATTGAGAATATCTTCGGCAACCCAATGGAAGCCAGTGGGGCGAGCTGGAAAGTGAGCCATTTATCGAACATTCCAGGTCCATCGGCTGCCAGTTTAGAGTCAGGGGTTCCGTCGGAGAGCAGCCGGAATATGAAGTCAAACGACATGGAATCACTAATCGGGTTGAAATCGACAACCTTATTCTTCTCGGCGATTTTATCTTCAAGTTTAATAAACATCTCCGACAAGGAGCTTCGGAACAGAGGGATAAACCTGTCGTGACGAGATGCAAGAAAACAGAGGAAGTGCTTTTTCAAAACAGAGTGCTCTGTTTCCGATGGGTCCAAATAGGCGCAGGTGCGAATATCGCCGGTGAAGGACAAGGAGGGCATGTAAGTTCCATCGAGAAGATTGCGTTTCTCGACCTTAGAAGTATCAAAAAGGATCTGAAAGGTGAGAGCGTCGAGAAGGACGACGACTCTGGAGTCGGAGGAGATGAAGGGGCCCGGCGGCATGTTGGCACGGAAGACGGTGGAGCGGTATTTGGTGACTCGTGAGCGGAAGAATTCGTCTTTTCCCTGGAAGTAGAAGTAGTCGTATCGGTCTTTGATTGCTCCAAGGAAGGGGAAGCCATAGCCGCCTGGAATGGGTTTCAGAGGGAGTTCAGAGGAAGAAGACGGAGAAGCCATCTTTGTGGGATAGGAACTGTTTCAACGCTTGTTCAAATAATAACTTGGTTTTCTGTTCTATTGGAGATCGGAAATATTTATTATAAATTTTAAAACACGATTATTAAAATAATAATAATAGCACGACAAAAAAAAAAGATAAATTAATAAATTCGTGGATCACGCTTACATTTTTTAATATCACATTAAATTATTTTTATTAAAAATATTATTTTAATGAAACCACTTGTAATCATATAAAAAAAAAAAAAAAAAATTATAGTAATATATTTAAGCCGTCAATTTTGTTAAAATTATAAATTTAGTTTCAAATTTTAAAAAATTTATAAACTTATTAAATACAAAACTTAAAAAAAAAAAAAATTAAAAAACAGGTTTTATCGAACCTAAAATTTAAATTATATTTTAGAAAGTTTAGAGATTATCATCATTTCTAACGTACGGTTATTAGGGTCGCTATTAAATTACGGCGAATAACAGCTTAGATTGAATCATAAAACCTATCAAAGGACTTTGATCTATTCGTACTCTATAGCCTTAATACACTCGGTATGGCTTTGTTATAAATTACCTTTGGAATGAGTTGGTTATAAAAGCATACACAAATATTAAGCACTACACAAAAGACATAAATATAAGGGTCCCTGGGCAGCCACCTGGCTCTAGAACGCTCCTGTCAACCGCCATTACATCACAATCCATTTGAAAAAAAAACAAAGAATAAAAAGAATGATAAGAATATACAAAGAATAAACTCATTGAGCTCGCCCTCGTCTTCCCAGAACAATGGTCGTGTTAATCCTCTGTGTGTTTGCTCGTCTTTCATTTTTTAGATCGAAAGTCTCTATTTCGTCAGCATTTATGTCTGACAAGACAAAACCATTTGTCATTCATCCTTTTCTCTCGGTATTTCGTGTTTCCTTTTCTTACAGGTGAGATCTGAGGGTTTGCTAATGTGTAGGACTTCAAGTATGATCATGAGCTCATTTGAGGAGTGGGTTCTCCAGCACTAGTGCGTTTTCCATCGACCGCGCAAGTTATTATTTTATTTATTATTATTATTTTTGAATCCTTACATTTCTATTTCTATGTTATTTTAATGAGTTATAGCGAATGTGGTCGTAAGGTAAATCATGTGTTTATTTACTATACTGAGATAACCTCGACCAAATATTACACAAGAATAACTCTTATTTTTGTAATATTTAGTCATTTTCAAAAGAACACCCTAATATTTACTAATGTGAATACTTTCACGAGGCCCCACATGAATCTCACATTGTAGACAAAAGAATGGAGACAGTAGGATAAGCTGATAGAGTTCCTACTCACTCACCGCTTAGAAAATACTTTCTCAAAATATTCACTTTGATATTAACTCATACAAACACGTTCCACAGAAAGACGGTCTAAAAGCTACCGAGAGACAAATCTTGACATATGTTATATATTTGGAGTTTTTGGAGAAAGGGGAATAATTTGGATTAAATATTCCAGTTTTGTCACATGGATAAATTAAATTAATGAGACATGTCTGGTGTTGTTTGGGATGAGGAATTGAGACCCACACACCAAATGGGACACCATGCCTCCAATAAAAGATTTCCTCATACAAAATTCGAATTTAATTGTAATCTTTAATGAATCTTGATAGTTCACGGGTAGAAGTTAGCTGGCTACCGTTTAATAGCTTCTACATAATAACTTGATAATACCAACTGCATGAAACACGATGTCGATCCTATCAATACAAATGGTTTATTGTTAGATGTTAGTTGACGACCTTATATGAAATTTCATTATAATGGGATAACATAAGCGTACAAAGAGTAATAAATTACATAAGTAGATACATAACATATCGTATCAAACTTGGTGAAATAATAACTCGTGAGTCATACTATAGCATTTCATAGTATTTAACATTCACTTTCAAGTTGAGCTTATCAAAAGTTCTCTAGAATGCTACTAGTCTCACAAATGTGAAAATATCAAGTTCATTTCGTCTTTGGGTCAAGCCTTAAAATCCTACTTAAACAAGCTACAAATCGAAGATAAATGAAACGATTTAGTTAAGTTGATATGATTGTTTCAACTGAACCAAACAAAATCGATCAAATCAAACTGAATTGATCGAACAAGACTAAGCCAATTACATCGTACCAGAGTTTTCTTCATTTTCTTCTTGGGTGAGGTTCTTCTTTCCTATAGCCAAAACGATTACCAAATCACAAATCACAAACTAACCTCTAGCAAAGTAAACTATTTATAAGAGTATCGTAGTAGCTGGTTGAGGCACAAAGTTGCTCCTCTTAGGATTATACATGTGGGGACTACTAGAGGGTCGTTAGTTGACTTTAATAGTAAACTATTTAGATTGTTAGGGTTTGCATTTGTATCAAAGTAATGGGTAGATACTAGGTTCCACTCTTTAGGCATATGATATGCAGCGTCATTTTATCAAGTTATCGTGTGTGAGGGGATGTTAGAGGATGTCCAACTATCTTCTCGTAATAAACTTGTCTTGATAGAAGCAAGAATCGATTTGGGTATCATAGTAGTTGGTATGCACGAAGAACACTCTCTCATGATTATAGTACGAGAATTGCCCACTAATTAAGACCCTGTTTTTCTACTATAACAAAGTCCTCTACATACGTGAATTAATTAAGAAACGCAGAAAAGTCTTTTAAAACATTTCAAACAATGTCATGAATTTATATGTTCATAACAAAATCATTTAAACAATTACAGCAAAAAACAAATGATGTGAAACTTAGATAAAATAAGGAAAATTAAAGACAATACCATGATCTAATCTAAGGGCTACAAATATTATAAATGTTACTACTCTAACTCCAGTCTCATGACTATCATCACGACGTCGTCATTCGTTTAAGGGTATTTTAAGAAATACTCACTAATGACCTCACTACTGGGTCAGGAAATGCAATCACATGCGTGTTTGGAACCTATCATTAACATTATTTCATGGTCTTGGTCTCAACTTTCAGTTCGAGTAGAATTGAATGTATACAATGGAGGGAAGGGAGCGCACATAGTATCATGGTGTACATACGCATATGTACTGATCATAACGGGGAAGTATCTCAATGCACGTGAACATACAATATGTTTGAGGTGCCCATCGTCCTATAATATTGTCCACTTTATATCATCCAACACTATAGACTAGGACACCGTATACAATTTTAGTATATGATTTATGGATGACCAAGGTCTCACAAGTGAACATATGGTGGAGTCTTCATGTTGAAGTGATTGTGGATTAGGATTGTTATAATGGGTCATATTCTTTGGTGAGCTTATTACGACAAAGTAGACAAACGCATATAGCCTTTACTTGTTGCTAATTGTGTAAGCTTTTTCCTATGGGTTCATGGTTTAACGTAGATATTATTTAGAAGAGGTTTTGTGTTCGTGGAATTTTGCAACGAGATCGTTAATTTCAGTGAACCTGTGATTGTGAAGCATGATGATACTAATATGACGTTGGACAACATTATCACGACGTTT